ATAACAAAGGTTTCTCTTCACTGGTAGCCTGTCCGTTCATATGGTGACTGTATAATGTAATTGTAAGAGATTCTTAGAGAGTTCAGTAAAAAATACAGTTATATACAGACTGCAGTGGTTGTACGCTCAAATGCTGAGGCTATGCCCTGAAGGAATGCCAGCACTGAACCAACTGTGCTTGAGCTCTCTGCAACAAGAAGCAAATAGCCGTCACTTAAACACATACAGTCGCCTAGTAGTGGGGGCTCTACCATTCAAAGATCTGATCTGCTGTGATTGTTGAGAGCGGTTGAGTTGAGTTAAAGGCACAATATGTAATTTTCTCCGCTAGAGGCGCGTATTCAAAACAAACAAAGAGGCAAAGGCGTAGTTTGATGACGGCGTGACTGAGTGTGGAATCATGGGAGTTGTGGTCTTCATCCCCACAGCCAGGGTTGGGCAAAGATACATCAAAATGTATTTTAAAATAAAATACCAAATACCTTAATTTTAAGTGTATCAAAATAAACTACAAAATACAGCAGCCACACCAAGTATCAAAATAAACTACTGTATATTTGTATTTTAAAAATACTAAAAAATACTTTTACAAGGGAGCATGACATTTCTTCACAAACCTTCCATCAATTGGCCTATTTGATCTATCTCTTCACCAATACACTGATGTTTGTGAACAATGTTTGATAGCAACAGCTTTTCTCTGCCCGAGTCATGCAATAAATCTGACATATGCAAGCAGTTAACAGATCAAATATTCACATATCCCTGTGATCTCCCAGATGAAGGTTAGTTTTCACAGCATGCAAGCCACAAATGGAGTTTCTACAGACAAATACATGCAGAAGTATGTCAAAATACACGGCTTGGCAAGTATCCTCGAAAACAGCCGGTTATATCTTAAGTGAACTTAAACAGTTGAGAAAGAAATCAGATGTGTATCAATAAATTAGAGCCATGAATTGTGTTTAAAGTGACCGCGCCTAATTTAGCAGCTGCTGTCAGTGTCGTTAATGTTAATCAAAAAATAAATAAAAATACAAATTAAAAAGAAAATCACTTACTGTTCTTTAATATAAGTCCTAATCGTGACTGTGTTCAGATAGCTCTGATTGTTGCAGTGACCATAGTTAGCCAACAGATGGGGACACTTTACTTCTATTTTAAAATGCCATACCTTAAACTAAAGCAAAGTTTATGGAAGACGATCCCTGCTCTCTGAAACAGCTGTTCATCCGGTTGTATATGTACAGAATGATGGTGGACCGTCCTTCATGACAGATGAAATAAAAACAATAAACTCTTCATCCAGATATTCAAACACAGTCAAATCAAGTTAATGCAATTAATGAATAGTTCTTTTTAAGAAAATTTTATATTTGCTACATCGTGTTTTACTGCTGCTGAGACCAATAAACATTTAAACTTCAAAAAAAAAAAAAAATCTTTATAGTGTTTTAGTGAATTAATTTGAAATGTATAAATAAATGATAAAATGTCTAATTATAAATACTTCCGATATATTCTGACATGCTGTTTGTTGGCACTACATTAAACATACAATTAAACAAAAATTTAATGTGTAATACATTATAGTTTTTCATATATGGGCGCAGCAGTTTTAGATTTTATAGATAGCACATTGCAAGTGTTCACACTGAATTTTTATACCGAATTAAATTTATTTTCACAATTACAATTTACAAGTCATTTCACACACACAACTACATTAAAATGAAGTTACTCTAGTTACAGCCAGTTACAGTCAATTTCACGGAATGGTAAAGGACAATCTGAGTAACCAAAAATAAATAAATATATGAAGAAATCAACAGCAAATCTACCCAAGTTAAAATCAGAACTGAGCACTGTGCATACTTGCATGCATTTAAATCGGTCATTGTTGTTAAATGTGAAGATTTGTTACCTGCATTAACAAGATAATAGTGTAAGTTTACTTATTTTATTTAAAAATATTTTCACATATCAGATTATGTGACATCACAAAATAACTTTCGAGTTTTAATGCTTAGGAACACAGTGCATTAGACGATTCTCAAAACATTTGGGTAACACAACAGAGGTTCCATCTATAAACATGAACTAACAATGTAACATTAACAAAGATTAATAATACTGTAACAAATCCATTGCTCATTGTTCTTTAATGTTAGTTAATGCATTAACTAATGTTAAGTAATAAGACCTTAATGTAAAGTGGGTAACACAATTTGTACACATGTAACATGTACTTACTATTATAATAACAATTAATTATGCATAATTACATGCAAGTAACCCTAAACCAAACCCAGATCCTAACCATAACCATATAGTAAGTACATGTAGTTAATTAATATTACTCAGCACTTATGTAAAATTACACTGTAACAAGGACACCTTAAAATACAGTGTAACCGTAAAGTGTTTTAAGATGCTAATCTGTAGCTTTAGTGCGCCTGTAAAGATGTATCAGCATCAATCAAATATCAACTAACACCTAATCCACACCATGTTAATATGTGAATCGAATGATAATTTGGCTTGGAAAGCAGAAGTGGCGTTGAAGCTCACGGGAACCGACAGGGCCAGCAGTGGCCACAATACGGTCTCATCCCCTCAAGGCCTCCGTGGCCTGTGTCTGTGCTACCAGAATAATAAGCCTTTGTGAAGAGAGCCTTGTAAAATCCTGCATCCCTACAGAGTAAGAGAAAACCAGGCACCAATGCATGAAAAGAGCTTCAGACCTTTTCACTTGAAGCAACTGCTTAGCCTGGGATAATTGAAAATGGTTAATTACAGAATAAGACACAAATGGAAATGCAGTTGCACGACCTACAGGAACACAAAGCAAATTGTGAAGATTTTCACTACCTGTTCAGATTCTGAGTTAGTTCTGTCTGTGTAATGTTGTTTTGCTACTGCTGTAACTTGCTGTCCTCTCTGTAGCCTTCTGAACTCCCAACTTTGGATCTCTTGTCCTCCTGCTGGGTTTTTCATAATTAGGAAATGAAGGACTTACACTAACGAGTCTTGCAAGATAAGTGCAGGAGTGGCTTCATGTTAGAGGAGGCCTCTATTGTCTCTATTGTTGATTTATTGCAGACACCAATTTAAGTTAGTGCCACAATCCTAACGTTAATAGTGCATGCTGTTATTCAAGCCTACATCAAATGTCAGGTGTCATGCGGCTAGCATCTCTCGAGTTGAAGCATCACAATTGTTGCCCTCCAGCTCACTAAATATTGTAGTTTAAGCCCTCTTCGATGCCTGTAATCAAGCAGACGTGTGAGGTCACTCGTGTTAAAAGTGTGTCCATTCCGTCATTGTCCCCAGCAGTTTGGGGTCAGCCCTTTTTTTACACACAAGGTGAGAGGTTTCCCCCCAAGAGGTGAGGAGTGATGTTAAAGCATGATTTGTCGTTTCTGACACCTTTACACAAGCCATAACGTTTCTCCAGAGGGTACCAGGAGGGATGCTTAGTTTAGTTTGCTCAACGTGGCAGCTATGCTATTTTCAACTACACAGAGATAGAGCATTTACATTCTGGAAGATGCTTCAGAGCCTTCTGTGTGAACACAAGCCAGAGCCAGAATGCCAGAAAATGTAATGCTGGTATAAAAGTAGCAGCAGGTCCGCATGCAGTGTGCGTGACGCAAATTTCGTCTCCAGAACAGTACATGCGAACTGTATGGGCACCACCTGATTTTGCACATGTGCAATGAATTTGTTTTGCACTAATCAGTTGTTCCACAAGGTGGCAGCACTGGCCCGAGACGTTGATTAAAAAAGTACAAAGATATTTTTATCGGTCATGACTTCTGGAGACTATAGAGCAGACACTGGACAAAGATTAAGCTTTCTAGAGCATGTATTTTGACCACCTTTGTTTGTGCATGCTATCAAATGGAGTATACTTTGAAACGCTATGTGTACAGTCGAATGCGTAGCCTTTCAAAAGTCCATTTGATCTTGTGTGCGAATGCAACATGCGCTCTAGAAAGCTTCATCTTTGTCCAGGTCTATTTTTCTCCAGAAGTCATGACCGATAAAAATATCTTTGTACTCTAGCCAGTGCTGCCACCTTGTGGAACAACTGATTAGTGCAAAATGTGCATGTGCAACCTGAAGTATGAATGGTTACAAAAATCTGGTGATGCGAGTACAGTACAAGCATACTATTTTGGTGAAAAATTTGCGTCACGCGTACTTTATGTGGACCCTCACATACATGTACAAACTGAAGTATACTTTGGCCATTAGTGGAGCCGTACACAATGCAATTGTTTACTAGAAATTAACACAAAAATGAAAGGGCAGGCTTTTTCCGTGAATATGTTAGAAGTCACTTTGTGATGTTTGTGTCTTTATGGGCCTGTCTGAGATGTGTGTTAATTAAAGCACAGAATACAGGAATGCTCTGGGAATGTAAATGTACAAAACTGCACAATGCCACAATTCTTCACAGAGGTTTTTCAGAATCTCTTTGTGAAAGAGGCTTACGTGAGTTTGTCCTTTACAAGGACAATCTAGTTAACATTGGTTATTAACATGTAATAACAGGATCCTACAGGAAATGATGTGTCAAACCTAAAAAGGAAAAGATGTGCACACTTTTCAGATGCCAGAATTATATTTTTTGTGTTTAGGCCAATTTGTATAATTTTCTGCTACACACTGTCATGAGTTTGTATATATTTTGTGGTTCGTACATTTTTTGTTCTATCTGCTTACACCATTGCGAGGGTTAAGTTTAAGGTTGGAAACTTTTATGGAGGCGTTTTACATACAAATCGTACGTTTTTGTAGGAGTTAGATCTTACAAATTCATAAAAATAAAAAAATCTCCAATTCGTGCAATACTTAAAACTTTATAAAATACTGGATGAAACACGTTAACCTAGCTGTAAAATATGTTGGCACAATATAAATGTGTAATTCAGTAGTTATTACAATGTAGTAATCATAATTAAGAATATGACAAATGTTGCAAACGTTGTGATTACATTGTGATCAGTTACATTTTTCTTAAAACCTGACAAAATAACTTGGGTTATTCTCTGATCATTTTAATACCGATTTCTTTTGCCAAAGATCGCCTGGCAGGATGCATTCATAAAGCTTGTTGTCTTGTTGCAACGTGTGGAATGACCAGTTCTGCTGATTACTGCTCATGCACGTCTTCCTTCCTTCCCCCACTGCCCTTCCTCCATGCGGTGTAACAACAAATCTCCTTTTCTGCTCGCTGCCTGAAACTATCGAGTCAACAAACGTCACTGCAGCTAGGCTCTGGAGGTGGGGTCTCCCTTTCAGAGCTGGAGAGGAGCCAAACGCACATTTTTCTCAGACAAGAACCACCTGTTAAAATCCAGACGAGACCAAAAATAGGGATATTTAAAAGCTCTAAACACAGGGCGGAGGAGGAGAAGGGTTAGTGCTAGCTTTCACATGTCCATGACTGCACACAAGGGCCAGAGTGTTAAATGAGAAGCTTTGAACTTTCTGTCTTCAGTACAGAAAATCTTTCAGGTGTTCGGGTCAGATATCAGACGTCATTCAAATTTCTTTCTTGCACGAGTGTCTCACAGTGGTGAATTTAACAGTATACAATTTATTCTAGCTTTTTAAGGTCTAAGCGTGCAGCCCCCAAACCGCTGTGTGCCAAAATAAGACCAAGCATGAGTAAATAAGGGCAAGAGAGAGGTGCTTCACCGTCTGATCTGGGAGGAAATAAGAGAAAGACCAACAAACAGAGAGCTTAGTGAGACCAAGTAGCGCGAGTATGGAACTTTGGTTTAATTTCTTATAATCGGTTTCCATTTTATAAACTTTGTATCACTGAAGCAGATTGTGAGTGGAGGGGTTTTCCCTCTGTGTCTGTTGGAGTGGGCGGAAGTGAAGCCATGAGTCATGCAATCCAGTCCAGTGCTTCATTGCAGCCAGTCAAGTGTGCACTATTGTGTGCGGCTGAAAAAAAAAAAAAGGAGGGGGAAGAAAAGAAACTCAGTCCCTTTGTGTGGAGAGGACCCAGCAGGAAAGCGATTTTGCAATTACTTCAGCTTGCTGGTAAAGCAAGCTTGGTTCCTCTGATCACACACACGAGCTCGTACGAGAGCGAGAGAGCGAGAGTGCGTCTGGACACGTTTCGAGAGCCGACAGCGTCTGCCACCGGATGATGAAAGCAGACGTCAGACTGGCCCATGAATATTGATGCGGAGGTAGTCTGCTTCATAGACGGAACAGAAGGAAGCAAGATGGCTGCGCTTTAGGATTTGTTTAAGAGGAGATCTAGAAGGTTTGTTGGAATTCTACAAGGTGGAAGGACTTAGAGCAAGGTGAGAGAGCTTTCCTGCCCTTGCCCTTTTTCCTCTGGACCCCAGGGTCTCTTTAATGACTTCCAGCTCTTTTTCAGCAATGTGCTGTCCTGTTTAAAACCGTGAGCTGACATAATAATGAAAGGATATTAGATAAAGCTTCACCAACATGGCTGACGTTTTCTGTCTCTCTTCCTCCCTCCCTCCTTCTCTGTCTCTGTTTTGTTGGCTTGTGCAGACAATGTATTTCAAGCATTTAAAACTAATTTGTCTTCATTATTAATTTCTTATCTGAGTGGACGGCTTTAGGAATGCGTCTGAAAAGTGGTGATCTTTGTGAGACTGTTGGCCAATTCTTCTTCCCAATGCAGCAGAGCAGAACTAAACAGTCACACGGCGAACAAAATTATCTTATCTCTTCTGTGTCTACCAGCCTTGTTGGACATATGTGTGTAGATACAAGAAAGAGGTGTTTTAGAGAGTTTTATTAAATATTTATTGCAAAAAAAAAAATAATAATAATAATCGTTACTTCATGCAATTGTGGCAAGGGATATTATTTTCTCCTTTATGTGATGCATGCTTTGATTGAATGTGGGTGCTTGGCTAGGAATAGTCGAGCTCCTTGCTTTCACCGCATTCATCAGTGAGTGACAAGCAGACACAAAGAAAAAAACAGGAGAGCGTAGTGGTGGAAGCCCACAAGGTCAAAGGCTTTAACAGAACTGAAACCCAACCCCGTATCACCATTAGCCAAGGGCCACCAGAGAATGGGATTTTAGCCTTGTTTGACTTCAATAGGATTTCCATTGTTTATTCGTACACAAGATCTGAATTGTGTTTTTAAGTCTACATTTTATGCTCACAGTGAATTTTTTTTTTTTTTACAATTAGACAACATCAGTTCTCTGGAAACCATTCAATTGTACAGAGAACAATTCAGTGCCCGTGCTGAATTTTATTTCTATTCCATTAAGATATCATGCACAGCTCACAGTCCAAGGTGTCTAATAGTGGCCAGGAACATATTTGCATATGTTTGACATTAAACCATAGGCTATTGAAATTCCAGACTGAGCAAAGAAACAGTCAAATGCTTGACTGTTGTATTGAGAAAGTCAACATTTTGCTGGAAATAACCTTGTTTCAGATGTTTTTTTATTTCATTGTTGCTTCCGACACGTAACAATCAAACATATTAACTTGAATAAACTGTTACAAGAGGCTACTCTTTTATCTGCACTAATGATTTGCAAATGCCACCTTTGCTTAACTGATTTTAACAGCCCTATTAGGATTTGCATCATAATTGGCTGCTGGAACAATACAAATAAAGTCCTATGCTCTTACGTTGTGTATTTAGCTTGTGTATTCCAGCATTCTGTTTAGATGTGAAGTGTGGAAGTTAGCTCATGCCTGCAAGGGGAATCTTTATGGAGTGTCGTCAATCAGCGTGATAGAGAGGTGGTGCAAATGCTAATGTAACCACAGCGAAGGGATCTGGAGAGAGACTAGTGCCATCACATCTTTAACACTGTATAAGCTTCAGCTCCAACTGTACAAATAATGCTTTGGTGCTAGTAGTGGAGATACAGTACACATCAGTCACTTGACATATTCTACTTTAATATAATCGTAACTGTTGCGTGTCGATGGCATGGTTTTAACTGGTGAGAATAGACTGGAACTTATCTGGACTGGAAGTACAGGCAGACCTTTTTCTCTGATAAAAGTGTCTGGGGCAAAACAATAATAAACTTCTGTTCAATGACATGTAGATGTTCTTTGCATGATAAGAAGACTCTCTGTGTGGTGTAGACTTATAGGGGGGAAAAAGTAAAAATGCTAAAGCATTTTATTTGGTTGAATGTACGAGTGAAAAGTAAACGTGTGTTTTGTTTTTCTTTGTTTGTGATTTGTGTTCATCATATTTTTTGCTCGGGTTTGGTGTTTTGCCTCTATTTGCAATGAAACAATGGGATTTGCTTATTAATAATGGCATACATGCTGTATATCAATTGGCCGAAAACGTTTTCCAGCCTGCATACTCTGCTAATAGCTTGTGCTGCATTTGATTTAGTAATATTTTAAGCACTTTTGGTGTAAATTGTCACAATAGCTCTGATTACTGGGATTTATATGACACCACTTTTGTCTCATCCTTCAGAGGATGTTCACATTTCTGAAGAGAATTTCGGGGGGTTGGAACACGCATTGCATGTTTAATTCTCAGCGTGAATTGAAGCGCACATGCTCGCTCTGTTTACAAACACTAACTCACAACCCAGTCACAGGGTTCGATGGAGAAGTGTACTTAACACCGGCCAAGGAGGTCGCTGACTAGGCCAATTAAGACCCTTTCCAGAACATTTGTATTCAGAAGACTTTAGTTAAACTCGTGGTTTGCATAGTTTCTGCCTCTTTTAGTTCTCTGACAACTACAAATGTCTTGTGGTTAGAGAGCTTGGCTGAATATATTTGTAAAGCTCAGTGAATCACTAAAAAAATATTTTTCATGACTAATAATATAAAATCAAGTAATACGGATTGGTATTGTACTTCTGACAAAGTCGATCGTTCATTTCCTCTGAGTGATGATGCACTTTCCAACGTGGTTTTCAAAAGGTTGTCTCTCCAGTTCCAGCTGTGTGGATTCAAAGAAAATCTGTTTGCTTTCAGCATACGAGTAGAATGGTGGTTCATAACAGAAATGCTTGAGGGTTTTCCCCCTTCAGAATCAAAGATTTAGAAGAGAAAAATGAAAAGTATGTCAGGCTAATAAGAATCACATGGCACATTCTAATTTCGAAAAATGGTGACGTCATTTTGGGGTTATGGGGGATTTTGAATTAGAATTGCTCAGAAGTAAGTCTACCAAGAAGAGGTTTGTTGCATGTGTGTGAGTGAGTGTGTGTGTGTGTGTGTGTGTGTGTGAGTGTGTGTGAGTGTGTGAGAGAGTGTGTGTGTGTGTGTGTGA